TTTTCAGTGTGCAGGTCTTTAACTTCCTTGGTTAAATTTATAACCTTATAAGTTAATGAAATTGTAAATGAGATTATTTACTTAATTTCTCTTTTTGCTAGTTCATTATTAGTGTACCGAAATGTAACAGATTTTTGTATATTGACTTTGTATTCTGCAACTTTTTGAATTTGTTTATTCTAACTATTTTTTGATGGAGTCTTTAGGGTTTTCTATATATAACATCAGGTCATCTGTAAGTAGTGACAGTTTTATGTCTTCCTTTCTGATTTAGATACCTTTTCTTTCTTCTTCTTCTTCTTTTTTTTTTAAAGATGTGTTTATTAGAGAATGAGCACGAGACAGGGAGAGGGGCGGAGAGAGAATCTCAAGCAGACTCCCCACTGAGCACGGAGCTTTACATGGGGGCTCGATCCCAGGACCCCGAGATTATGACTTGAGCCAAAATCAAGAGTCAGATGCTTACCTGACTGAGCCACTCAGGTGTCCCAAGACATGTTTTATTTCTTATTCTTGCTTCATTGCTCTGGCTTGGACTTCCAGTAGTACGTTGAATAAAAGTGGTGACGGTGGGCATCGGTATCTTATTCCTGGTCCTGGAAAGCTTTTCACTGTTGTGTATGGCGTTAGCTGTGGGCTTGTCATACACGGCCTTCATGATGTGGAGGTGGATTTCCTCGGTGTCCACTTTGTTGGAAGTCTTTGTCGTGAATGGATATTGAAGTCGGTCAAGTGCTTTTCTGCATTCACTGAGATGATCATGTGATTTTTACCCTCCACGTTGTTAATGTGGTGTATCCCACTGACTGGTGGGTGGGTGTTAGACTGTCCTCGAATCCCTGGAGTAAATCTCACTTGATCATGTTGAATGATCCTTTAATGTGTTGGTGATTTGGTTTGCTGCTGTGTAGCTGAGGATTATCGCATCTGTGTTTGTCAGGGATGTTGGCCTGTGATTCTCTTTTCCTGTGGCATCCTTGTCTGGTTTTGGTTTCAGGCTAATGTTGGTCTCATAGAATGAGTTGGAAAGTGTTTCTTCCTCTTCTATATTTGGAAGAACTTGAAAGTTGGAGAAGGATTGGTAATAATTCTTCGAATGATTGGTAGAATTCACCAGTATTTGTTGCGAGGAATGAAGTCTTAATTAAAAAAAATAGACTGTTACTAGGAAACATATAAAACATTATAAAGAAACAAGGAACATAAATGTGCCAGCGTTGCCTACTTAGTTTTATCTTTGTTATTTGCAAGGGAACACTTGTGGGGTGACTATTCGGATAATATTTTTCTACAGTTACATCCACACTGTTTGTCACGTTTTCTCAGCGGTGATCAGAGCTATGTTGCCCACGTAGGTCCTTGTGTGAGCTCCATCATAAGGACATTCTCCTTTTAGTGACAGCGTTATCAAGACGTCATTCACACACGATATGACTCACCTATTTAAAGTGCATGATCCCGAGAATTTTAGTATATTCAGGATAGTGCTGCTGTCACTGAAAATGGCATTTGAACATTATCTCCCTCCTCCCCCATACTGCTCTCTCCCTAAGCAATCACCAATCTGCCTTACTCTATCTCTAGATTTGCCTGTTCTGGAGAGTTCACGGAAGTGGAGTCATATAATTCACAGTTTTTGGGACTGGCTTCTCTACCTAGTGTGTTATTGAAAAGGTTCACCCACGTTCCAGCCTGCACCATTCATTCATTCATTCATTTTAGTGGCGAATTAATATTCCTTTGGGTACTCCACATTTCATCTCTCTGTTTATCCTTTGATGGGCATCCGGGCGGTTTCTACCTTTTGGCTGCTGTGAACATTTGTGTGCAAGTTTTGTGTGGACGGCTGTTTGCATTTCTCTTGGGTGTGTACCGGGAATGGAATTGCCAGGACTATCACAGCCCTGTGGTTAACTCTCTGAGGAACGGACAGATGTTTTCCAAGGCAGCCACACCACCTTCCATTCCCGCCAGGAGTGTACGAGGGTCCCAGTTTCTCCACATCCTTACCAACACTAGTTGATCTTTGATTTTGATTATAGGCATCTCCCTGGGTGTGGAATGGTAACTCATTGTAGGTTTTTTAAAAAAATATTTTATTTATTTTTAAGTAGTCTCTACAGTCAACTTGGGGCTTGAATTCATAACCCCAAGAATCAAGGGTCACACGTCCCACCGACAGCCAGCCAGGTGCCTTCATTGTAGTTTTGGTTGGGGTTTTTCTGATGGATAAAGGTGTTGAATATGTTTTCAGACACTCGTTGGCTCTTCTTCAGAAAAATGTTCAGATCCCTTACCTATTTTAAAATTGGGTTATTGGGTTTTTTAATGATTGACTTGAAAAGGTCGTTTGTGTATTTTAGATATACGCCCCTTGTCAGATAAATGATCTGCAAATGTTTTCTCCCAGTTCCCTCTTTTTTTAAGTCAGGAAGGGAAGAAAAACTAAAACGTATTAAGTAACTATCATGATCAGCATTATACCTAGTTAGGGCTGTAGAAGTTGCTGGAACATAGAAATGATTTCTGTCTTCTAGAGGTTTAGGTTTCTTTGGAGACCCCAGACTTACATGGCAAAACTGGAAAGCAGCACAGAACAGCGCATGTTAAATAGCACACGATCTCAGTCAAAAACGGCATGGAAAAAAGTATGAGAAATAAATGCTCTGGGATTCCAAGGAACTGAGGTTGAAAGCAACTGATTTAAATTATTTATTTTGAGTAGAAATACATGAGCAAATGTTAACTATTCAGGGCAACTTCTAAAAAAGAATGTTCTGGTTTGATCAGCTTCCAGAGAGTTTCATAGTATCATGTACACCATGGTCAGTCTTCCTGGTGGACCGTCCCTGTTTATCCCTGTGCTCCCAGTTCTGGGCACGCGGCTGGAACCGTTTGTCGAAGACACGAGCACACGCCAGCAGGGCTGGAGGGCTCAGGGCGTGCGGCACCGAATGAGCACTTCCCTGAAGCTGGCACGGGTGCCAATGTTAGGGTGGAAAGAGTAAGAGGTGGAGGGGCCCTGGGTGCCCCTCAGGCTCTTCCCCGAACCAGGTCGGCAGCAGTGGCCTTTCCAGTCCCACAGCCTCACTGTGAAGCGAGGGGAATGCACCGGATCTTCTCCTCGAAGCATTCGGAGGTTTATGAGCAGCAAAAACTTGACACATTTAGAGCCAGCTAAACATTCTCTAAGTAGAATTTGAATGCATGATTAAGGTTTTATGCTAAAATTGCGCTGACAGGGAGCCTGGGTGGCTCAGTGGGTTAAGCCTCTGCCTTCCGCTCAGGTCATGATCTCAGGGTCCTGAGATAGAGCCCCGCATCGGGCTCTCTGCTCAGCGGGGAGCCTTCTTCCTCCTCTCTGTCTCTCTCTGCCTGCCTCTCTGCCTGCTTGTGATCTCTGTCAAATAAATAAATAAATAAAATCTTTAAAAAAATAGCACTGATTTTAGCACCTCCCATTTCTATAAAATTGTGTCAAGGAAATGGTATTTCTGATATTGGATGTACTATGAAGATATTTACAAGGCAGTATCTTTTTTTAAAATATATTTTTAAAAAGATTTTATTTATTTATTTGACAGAGAAAGAGAGAGAGAGAGAGAGACAGTGAGAGAGGGAACACAAGCAGGGGGAGCAGCAGGCAGAGGGTGAGGGGGAAGCAGACTTCCTGCCAAGCAGGGAGCCCAACGCCGGGGCTCAATCCCAGGACCCTGGGATCGTGATCTGAGCCAAAGGCAGGCCTTCAACTGACTGAGCCCCCCAGGCGTTCCTACAAGGCAGTATCTTAAGGATTATCATTAAGTAGAATGTTAGAATTAATTTATCAACTCATTTATACTGTATCTACTTTCTTTCAAACAAGATTTGAGATGGCCATTCAAGCTAGTATCTTTTCCCCTAAGGCAAAAGGTTCTTAGATGCTATTAAAATACATTCTGTTTGTTATTCTTATTTTTTAAACAAACTTTTGATATTTCGGAAGCTAAGATTTTAAACAGGATTAGGAGAGGAGAAATAGTTTGGTAATGCTATTTTAACACGAAGCTCTAAAATTAACGGCTTTTAAACATGAAAGCTCTAATTTTCTGTCAGACCGTTTAGGTTGGAGAAGGACCATCACCAGCTACTATAAATCCCTGCGTGCGTGCTTAATGATAAACAAGCCAGTGAGGGTTTGGTTCAAGTAAATGCTTTTTCTTTGTAAAATCGTGAGTCCTAGTAAATGTCATGCTTGAATTTCACACCTTTGACATATCCATAACAGAGATTCTGAACTATATAACACTGGAATCTCTCATTTCTTCAGAGAGGATTAAACTCAGTAGAAATAGAAACATGACCGTGACCTGTAAATTTAACCAGTCTGTGGCTACAGCGTTGAAATCTTTAAAATTTTGTTTCTCTCTCTTTCCTTTCTCTCTCTCTCTCTCTCTTTTTAAAAGTGTTAGGCTGTAAGGTAATTTTATATAAATGTATAGCAAACAAAGTATGACAAATCTGAATAATTCATTCAATGTTTGTATGTTTTATATTAAAATCATGTAAGTTAAAACTTGTTTATTTTACATTTACAGTTGGTATAAATAAACTTCAAAGTATCTATTTTCTAGGTTTCGAATTTCATGACAAGCAACCCCTTTAGCTCCAGTAACTTATTTAAAAGCTTAAAAGCTTTTGTTAAAATACTCTGTATTAAGTAGTGAGTGTTTCCTAGGGAACTCAGCATATTTCCATGTGAGTAATCTGATTTAACTAGAAATGTATCCGAACCACAGTGTCCTTTATGGATCATAAATATCTGTATTAATATTTTCCTGTAAAAGCTCTGTTAACAGTCTAAATGATAGGTTGGTTCCTTGATAAAGCCGAATGTTCTTTGAAGTAACTTTTAAACATTTTTATACAGGATTAGCTGAACCATCCTTTGTTGCGAAACATGAAGACAGTTTGTTTAAGGATTTGTTTCAAGACTACGAAAGATGGGTTCGTCCCGTGGAGCACCTGAACGACAAAATAAAAATAAAGTTTGGCCTTGCGATATCTCAGTTAGTGGATGTGGTAGGTGTGCATATCACGACATACTTCATTTCATATGGTCTTCCTGAGGGCATCGTGGGGGCCCAGGTACCGTGTGAAGCCGCGGGGATGGCAAAGATGGACGAGACAGTCATTCTCCTGAAGGAACTCAGCAGGGAGAAAGAACTACTACACAAGAGGCCTAGGAATGCACTGTTTCTCTAATACCATATAGTTTAGAAGTCATTTATTGGTCATTTTAATGGGCCTGTTTTTAATAAGTTCAAGGATAGTAAACCTTTATATGGGAGATTCTCATTACATTTGTTTAAAAATACAATTTTAAAAAGTCAACATTTTAAAGAGGAGAAAGTCCAAGAGTAGAGTTGTAGATTTGGGGGACCGGAAGGTATCTCAGCAGATCATTGTTTCAGTATCACACTTAAAACCTATCCGAGACTTTCCCATATGACGCCCAGGGAGTATCTGTTCCATTGTAACTTGTTTTTATTGTCGGGAGATCCTTTCTACTTAAAGGACAAAGTTCACGCTAATTTTTAAATTAGTTCCTTCTTGTTCTGATCATGTCAATCAATAATTATTTCCCTGCTGTGTTCCCAGAATAGTCCGTGTGTGTGTTTGCATGAGAGAAAGAATGTACACCAACATTTATAGGTGTGCCTTTATTTCCTAATTAGAGAAGCAATGCATAATTTTTGTTGAGAGTTTGGAAAGTGTGAACAAATACAGACGAGGAAATAAAAACTGACTGTGATTCTATGACCCGGAGATGACCAGTGGTAACATTTTGCTGTATTTCTTGCAAGTTTTTCCTGTGTGTATATTTTAAAATTGGGCTATTTTGACATAAAGAAGACCTTTTTTCCTCCTGTTTTTTTTCCCCCTCAAAATTTTATTATTTTATTTTAAGGATTTTGTTTATTTATTTGACAGAGAGACAGTGAGAGAGGGAACACAAACATGGGGAGAGAGAGGGCGAAGCAGGCTCCCCACTGAGCAGGGAGCCCCATGCAGGGCTCGATCCCAGGACCCCCGATCATGACCTGAGCTGAAGGCAGACATCTAACTGACTGAGCCACCCAGGTGCCCCACAGGGTACACATTTTTAAAAGTCTGTTGATATATGTCACTTTAACTGCCTCCAGAAAGATCAGTGAATATGGACTGTGTTGTGTGCTTGGCCCTCTGCTTGGGGATTTTCAATATAAATACAACAGAGAAGTAGGAGGGTGAGGGGGGCTTGCTCTCAAAGACCTTTCTTTCTAGTTGGGACTGTGAGCAAGTAAGTGGAGTCACTATAGGACACAGCATTTCTGGCCACAAAAATCTGGGAACTCAGGTTATGATCAGGTCGTCAAAGCAGGATAGAGGAGGGGGCACTGGGGCCGGCGTTGTGGTGAGTGCGGGATTGCACATGCAGGGAGGAGAGTAACAAGGAGCAGTGTGATCACAGGCTCAGAAGTGACCAGGAGTCTTTTTGTCCAGCTGTTAAGATCAAAGGGTTAATGTTGGGAGCCACCCTGGGATGGCCTGATGGGTCTCGGGGTTGCCTACATGCCACAGTGCTGTGCCCCCTACCATTTTTCTGTTGCCTCTTGGAACAAGTCGCTCATCCTTCAAGGCCAAATTTATTTGACCCGTGGTGGAGTCTTTCCTGAGTTCCCAAGACAGTCTCCTCTGTCAGCGTCGCCCTCTGCTCTTGACAAGTGGCCATCAGGGTGGCTGGCGCTCATGTGCTCGGGGTGGTGCCCTCAAAGCTGGCTGAGCTTCATTCCTCGGGTCCATCCCAGAGCCCAGCACAGTGCCTGGCGCACGGTAAGGGCTGTGCGGATGACATATGTGACGGCCACAGGTGTGGTCGAAGCTGTGCTTTAGGAAGAGCCATAGGATGGTTAAATATGTGGTCTTGAGGAGTGAAGGCGACGGGAAGCTTGGGAGGCCCGTGGAGGCCAGGAGGCAGGAGTCGCCGGACTGGAGCACTGAGTAGAGCAGGAGGTGGCAGGTCTTGAGGTCCACGTGGTGACAAGAGAAGAACAGGTCTGAAAGGTTGAATCTGTCACTCTGCGGCAGGCAGAGGAGATGATGTGTCCCACTCCGATAGCAGGTGCTTGTGGTCGTTCAAAAGAAAATGTTCTCGAGGCCCTTGGGAAGTCAAACCCGGCTCTGTGAGGAGACAGGAGGCTCAGGGTCAGCAGGGACAGCCTGGCCCAGGGCCGAGTGTCAAAAATGTGGGACTGATGTGTGTTCAAACGAGCAGGGGAAGCTGGAGGGGCCGTCCTGGAGGAGGCGGTGGAAGAAAGGATGAGCCAAGCAGGGAAGCCGGGGAAGGGCTGTCTCCTGAGAGAAGAGCCCAGAACACGAAAGGTCAGTGATGACGATGACAAGACGGAAGGAGGACAGGAGCTGGGGGGGGGTGTGGTGAGGACATGGAGCACGGACGTCCCTGTCATCGCTGAGCTCTGTCCCCCTCAGTCTGTGGTCATGTTTGGGGGCTCCTCCCAGAAGTTCGCTCAGATTCCCGCCTTCTTCCCCATGTGTTCTTGCTCACTCATCTTTCTGAAATCTCCATGTTGGCTGGCTCGTCAGTTGCCAATTTTACAGTCAGGTTAGAACACGATTGCCCCTGCGGGGCGCCTGGGGGCGGAGTCATTAAGCGTCTGCCTTCGGCTCAAGTCATGATCCCAGGGTCCTGGCATCGAGCCCCGCATCGGGCTCCCTACTCGCCGGGAAGCCTGATTTTCCCTCTCCCACTCCCACTGCTTGTGTTCTCTCGCTGGGTCTCTCTCTGTCAAATAAATAAAATCTTACAAAAAAATAACCAGAAAACTATTGCCCCTGAAACTTTTCTGTTCAACTTATGTGTAGCTAACGGGCACTTGTGTCCTGGTGACAAGGACACCTGCGCTTGTCCTTGCTTGGGTTTGTGTCTTTTACATCCTGCATAGTGCCGAATGCGAGAGAGATGCTTGGGAGACAACTAGGTCCCCTTAAGTTGGGCTGTACAGCTGCATTTGGGGCTGGTTGTGAACTTAGGTATTATTCCTTTATCTGTATTGAAGATATGAAGTATTGACTGGGTCCTAGCCCATGGTGCAAAATTTATGTGTGTTCACATTTTTCTGGGGAAAAGGTCTATAATTTTCATTAGATTCTCAAGGATGACCTATTGCTTTATAGGGTCATAGGTAATAGGTTTGCCAGAACTTTCCTAATTGTTAATGCTTCTGTTTAGAACTTTGGGCACAGAGACCAGCCCTTACTCTGGATGCTGTATGACTCCTGGGCACACGGGGGAGCTGGTAGGATAAGGTTTAAACCTAGGAGCTTTGAATTCTAACATCAGTTCTCCCACCGGTTGGTGGTGTTTAGGCAAGTGGCCTCACTGTGCTGGTTTCTGTACTTGCAGAATGAATGGGTTACAGTAGATGAAATCTCTAGGTCCTTGCCAGCTTGAGTGCTTTAATCAAGGACAACTGCCCTTTGGAACAGGAGTGCAGGAGGGATGGCCTTGCTGTGTTTCCTGGTAGCTGTTCCCATGGGAGGGACTTCACCCCTGTCTTTGTCCCAAGAGAGGTGTCTCCTCCATCCTCCTCCTCTCTCCCGGGTGCTCACCTGCTGTTGGAATGAGTGCCCTCCAGGCACCTGAGCCATTTAAAACCCTGTCCCCTCTCCCGAGCCCAGGGATAGCCTCTTACCGTGTGGGTCTCTGCAATTGGCATTATATCCCGCACACTGTGCCCAATGATCACGATGGTCTCATAGGGCCCCAGTCGGCACCATGATGTTTCCATAAATGTAATGGAAGAAATGTCAATTTAGTTGGGCCTTGAGAATTCAATGAAACGCTGGTCTCACAAAGAAACAACATCAGGGAGGTGTGAGTGGCAAGTATTGAAGAACTCAGTTCTCTAGCAAAGCAGGTTGTGAGAGCTCATGAGGTCGCACGCAGGGCAGCGAGCGCAGTGTCTTGTCTTCGTGGCAGTGCCTCGGAGGTTCAGAGCTGTGCTCAGCGGAGACACGGAACTACCTTCCCTGCATCGTGGCACTTCTGATGTCACCGTGTGCTTTATCAATAATTCACAGTCAGCTTCTTCCTTTCTTAGCACTAAGGACGTAAAGTCATGCTGTGCCCATTCCTTGGGCTGTGTCTCAGCTTTGACGTCACAGCGTAGTGTGTTCAGCCCGTGTGTTCAGTCGGAGATGCTGGTGGTGTGTGCCACGGCGGTGTACCTGACATACAGAGCACCCTGAGGGGAATGACGTGCAGTTAGGCTGAAAAAGGATCCTGCCCTTCCAGAGAACAGCATCGATGAGCAGGATGTAGGGACTGTATGGACAGGAGTGTTTGTATAAAACTGTAAAAGTTCTTATTTCTAGAATTATTGTTTCTATACTTGAAATAATCAGCCTTGTTTACATTTTTGTTTTCTAGGATGAGAAAAACCAGTTAATGACAACAAATGTCTGGTTGAAACAGGTGTGTATGAAATGCAAAAGTTTACCTGAGTGGTCCCGGGTGCTGTGACCAGAGGATTGACAGCACAGAGAAACGCGAGCAGGAGGTGTCTGGGGGCGGGGCAGGATGCAGGATGGTGGGGGTCGATGGGGTTCTCATGGAGCGGTTGCTGTCTGCCAGGCACCCTTGTGGGCACCAGGGAAACAGCAGTGAACAACACGGACAGAGGTCCTGGCCATCAGGAAGCTTCCTTCTGGTTAGAGGAAAGAAACAAGGAAGCTGTATTGTGCCTCCAATGCTGACAAGCTTCACAGGGGGCAAGGATATGGGATCTTTGGGGATGTACTTTTAAATAGGATGGGTGGGGAAACCATTGAGAAGAATGTAGTGTTTGAGCAAGGCTTGGAGGAGGAGAAAGAAGCCGTATGAGTATCTGGGGGAGAATTGACCCAGGCAGAGAGGGACCAGCATGTGCAAAGGCCCTGTGGCTGGAGTGTGCCTGGGGTGTTTCAGGAGGAGCAAGCCAGCCAGTATGGGTAGGGATGAGTGAACCATGGGGAAGGAGGGGTGTATAGATGAGATCAGAGAAGCAGTGGGAGACGTTTAGTAGGCACCTGGGTTGGTGTCAGGATGGTGGTATTTACTTGGAGTGAGATGGGAATGGGGGATGAGTTACTCTTACAGACAGAGCCCCTTTGTAGAAAGGACTTCTCTGTCTTCTGGGCCGTCAGACTTACGTCCTCAGCTGCTGCTGTGTGCTTCCCTTCAGTCTTTCTTTATTATCCCTAATTATAACACCGACTACCAGTTCCCTGGCCCTAATTCCTAAAAGGCATGCCTCCTTTTTTGGGGATGCAGGTCTTAACATGATTCCAGAATGTCACTTTGTGGAGGTTGGACAGGTGTTTATATCTGTGGAGTGTGTAATAAATCCAGTCCCCCTGCAGGGACCAGTCCAACCAATGACAATAGAGCTGGAAAAGAGAAAGTCTGTCCAAACTTGGTCCTTACATGCCCATGGCTGCAGCCCCAGGCGTGGTCACTGGTGGGGGAGGAGGTGCCGAGCAGAGCACGGGCCTCACCTGTGTTGCATGAGGACCAGGGGCTGTGCTCCCGTGCTCTCAAGAAAGATGTGGAGCTGAGTGTTCTCTGTGGCGAGCAGAGATGCTTTCTGTGTCTAGAACTTCTGGATTTGGTAAAAAGTGTAGTTTTTACTACTCTTGACCGTCGATGTCATTGGAATTGGCAATTGAGGCCATTGTCTTTGTTCTGAAGGAGTGGACGGACGTGAAGTTAAGATGGCATCCTGAGGAGTACGGAGGAATAAAAGTTATACGTGTCCCTTCAGACTCTCTCTGGACTCCAGACATCGTTTTGTTTGATAAGTAAGTTATATTCTAAATACCACTTTGTGTTTTTAAAAGGAAACACTTGTATTTTTATGAGGCACTAGTAATTTTTTCTTCTCTTGGAACATTGTTTAGCTCTAAGATCAAATGACTTGATCCTATGTTTTTTGTGAACCTACACGTAGGTTCTGTGGATCCTCTCCTTTTCTTGGCATATTGTTTCCTGATCGTAAACGTGTTCTTTTTTTTTTTTTTTTTTAAAGACTTTTAGAGCATCTGGGAAGTCCAGGAAGGTGTAAGGAAGTGGGGGGGGGTCACCTATAATAACCCCATCATCCCACACTTGGAGGCAACGTGCACAGTAGCCGACACGTACAGCGGACTCACTCCGTGTCTGGCCGCGTGCTCCGAGCTCCAAGCCTGACTATCATTTGGGTGGCATTGCTGATGGACAAACGGGGACTGGCGTTACAACCTTGGCCATGACCCCACAGTTTGCCGGTGTCTGAGTGGGCTTCCCACGAGGCAGCCTGACGTCAGACCTACCTTCTGATTCAATAGACTACGTATCTGCCAGATTGCCTTCCAGATTTGGGGGGTATTTTTTCAAAAAAATTGTTGAAGTTTTACTTCATGTTCAAATAAATTTTGCTTCTAATTTTCTTAAATTCTGCATTGGAATTATCCCTTGATGAGGGTCATTGAGTCCACTCATCTCCACGGGCGTCCTACCTTGCCGTGTCTTCAGGATGGTTCTCACTGGGGAAAGGATAATTCTGGGATCGACTTTCAGGTTTTCTAGGACCACCCATGGCAAATCTGGGAATTTGTGCTTCTCCTAAAGCACTTTGTGGTATTTGCAAGAAGGCATTTGGCATGAAGTCAGAGCAAACGCTATGCAAAAATACCAGTCTTTAGACACCCTTTCCTTGCTCGCTTCTCCACAGGTGAAGAGGGAACAAGGTGTGCGTTCTCAGGACAGAGCTCCCTGGAGTGTCCTGTACTCCGGGCTGCTGATAGCATGTCTGCATAGGCATGAGTCTAACAAAAGTCACATGAGTTTTAAGATAAAAGAAACTGGTATTTCAAAGAAAGCTTTTGTCGGTTGACTTCTCCAGGATGTGAGTTCCCGGGGTGGCAGAGCTCGAGAGGCCCACAGGCTGGCGTCCAGTGTTTGTGGCAGAGGGAAGAGCACTGTGGGGGAGTCTCGGTGCGTGGAGTCGGGCTCCAGCTGCTCTCTGACTGTTTAAGTCGCCCAGTTGTAGTTCACAGGTCAGGTGAGATCTTTCAGCCTCTCACGAGTCAGGATGCTGGGAAGTCGAGCTGGCTCGTCAGTCTTGGAGAGGATGTGGAAGGAGTTCGGCTCCCGGAGGGTCCCGTGTTTGAGGAAGATGGACTTAGAACAGAGTCCCCGTGTCTCCGGCACACTCATCTACGAAGTGTCTCGTGTTTTGGCACAGGTTTTCTTTCACAGAAGGCTCGTGAAGTGCGGGCTTGGGCTGTCTCATCTCTCACTGTCCTGTACGTGTGTGTGTTTCAGCGCAGACGGGCGTTTTGAGGGGGCCAGCACAAAAGCTGTCGTCAGGCATGACGGCACGGTGACCTGGACGCCACCTGCAAACTACAAGAGTTCCTGCACCATCGATGTCACGTTTTTCCCATTCGATCTCCAAAACTGTTCCATGAAGTTTGGTTCTTGGACTTACGATGGATCACAGGTTGATATCATTTTGGAGGACCAAGACGTAGACAAGAGAGACTTCTTCGACAACGGAGAGTGGGAGATTGTCAGCGCCACGGGGAGCAAAGGGAACAGGACGGACAGCTCCTGCTGGTACCCGCACATCACGTACTCCTTTGTCATCAAGCGCCTGCCTCTCTTCTACACCTTATTCCTTATCATTCCCTGTATCGGCCTCTCCTTCCTAACCGTGCTCGTCTTCTATCTCCCCTCCCACGAAGGGGAGAAGATCTGTCTCTGCACGTCTGTACTGGTCTCTTTGACGGTCTTCCTGCTGGTTATCGAGGAGATCATCCCCTCGTCTTCCAAAGTGATCCCTCTGATCGGAGAGTACCTGGTGTTCACCATGATTTTTGTGACGCTGTCCATCATGGTCACCGTCTTCGCCATCAACATCCACCACCGCTCCTCCTCAACACACGACGCCATGGCGCCCTGGGTCCGCAGGGTCTTTCTGCACAAGCTTCCCAAACTGCTCTGCATGAGAAGCCACGTGGACCGGTACTTTGCTCCGAAAGAGGGGACTGAGGGCGCTGGGAGACCAGAGTCTTCTCAAAACCCACTGGAGGCTGCGCTGGATTCCATCCGCTACATCACCAGACACGTCATGAAGGAGAACGACGTCCGTGAGGTCTGTGCCATGTAGTGTTTGCGATAAGCGGCTGCTTCTGTTCTGAGTGTGGTGGAGTAAATGGCAGGACCTCGAGGGGACCCCAATGTCGAGGGCCACAAATGTTGGGGCACTGTCCTTAGAAGGTCTTTACTGGAACTGGCTTCAGTCAAAACATCAGCATCTCTACCCCCCTTGCTTCTCCGTCCCCCCAGCCACTCCGTCATTCTCAAGAGTGACAATCCTGCCATGATTATTTTAATTCTATCTTCCATAATTTTGTGTCTGAATTCTGTGCTGATCTGTCGGCACAACTTGGCACGATCATTGATCAGAATTTGTTTCATTTTTTAACCAATGAGCCTAATGGAGGCTTTATAAATATAGCCAAGATATTTCTTCTAGAATATGTCCTTTTGTTGTTCATTTACAAGAGAATATCAGTGAAATTAAAAGCAGTAAGGTATTCTTGGGTGTCACACATGCCGAAGTGTTCATGTGAAGTTTAGCAATAGTGCTTAATAATATGCTTAATTTGCTTAAAAATAAAAATTCATGTCAAACTTTATTAGGGAAAATAACTCTCACTGGCTTCTTAAGGTTAATATTTAAAGTAAGAATTGAACATGAATACATTCTACTAATGTGATATTAGATTGAACTTTCAAAACATCACATTTCAGTGTCACCATTCTTACTCTTTTTTTAAAGATTTTGTTTATTTGTTTGTCAGAGAGAGCACACAAGCAGGCAGAGAGGCAGAGGGAGAAGCAGGCTCTCCGCTGAGCAGGGAGCCCGATGCGGGACTCGATCCCACGACCCTGGGGTCATGACCTGAGCCGAAGGCAGAGGCTTAACCCACTGAGCCACTCAGGCATCCCACCATTCTTACTCGTGTATAATATTTTTAAAGCTAGGAATATAGCATTTTCATAATTGAATTTACTTGGGACAGTCCCATTAAAATTATATGAATTCTCATTTCTAAAGCTTCTTTAAATGGAAAAATGTTTAGCAGGTGTGGGAAGAAGCATCAGAGCGAATCTGGTAACATCACAGCCCTCCCCCCGGAAGGAGCGTAGGACATCGATTCCGGAAAAACGTGTAATGCTTGTGGATTTGTAAGGTTTCTATTTCATGATTAGTACGATGAGTTTATGAGGTCTGAAGCAATCGATGGGGTCTTAAAACATATAAATGTTAAGTGATGATTGGAATAGAGATGGAATTTAATTGATGTCTGCAAAGGGCTGTGTGAAAGGACCAGCACTCATCCCCTGGAGGCACTAAATGGATTTTATTTTCGGGGAGACTCAGACAATCAGTAGAGTGTTCATAGCCCCCTGAAGTCCACATTGTCCCACACCTGGGGGCAGAGCTCCTGTAGGGGACCTCGTGCCTCATGAGAGCAGGGGCAACTTCTGGTGCTCAGGGGCTGGTCTCCCCTTGCCCTTCCTCTGAGGTCACTGAGAGCTGCTGAGCTCCCTCCCCGCTTAGGCTGCGAAATGGGATGAACTGAGGTCCAGGCCAGCAGAGCTGAATTCACGAGCTCAGATTAAAAGGCCCCCAGGGAATCCAAAACCAAATGATGCAGCTTGTGGGGCAGGGAAGAAGATTTGGGACTGCCCAATAGATATTATTCTGAACCAACTTTTAACTTGGCTTGAAATTAATTAACCTCAGGCTGGGCTCTCTTCACAAATTAAAATAAGTAAGCACTGCTGGGCAAGAGTAAGTAACAGAAATAACTATAGAAAAAGAATCAGAGAGGTTTTTTTAGTTTATCTTATAATAATCAAGTAGTATATCCTGACTTTACTGAACATGTCAAAATATGCCACTTGAATATATTACAAATCAACTTGTAATTTAATAGCGTGTGCAGTGGTCCTGCAAGCTCGTGGAGACTGTACGCGTCCTGAGCTCTGAGCACAGGGTCCCTCGCTGTCACGCAGCGGGGGTGGGCGGCAGAAGCTGGCCTGGCCTCTAACTCAGTGTGTAATATCTTGATTATGCAACTTTCACTCACGTGTTAAACGTATGTGTGTTTTTTCTTCTTCTGCAACAGGTTGTTGAAGACTGGAAATTCATAGCCCAGGTGCTGGACCGGATGTTTCTGTGGACTTTTCTTCTGGTTTCAGTTGTTGGATCTCTCGGGCTTTTTGTTCCTGTTATTCACAAGTGGGCCAACATAACAGTCCCGGTTCACATCGGACAGGCAAGCAAGTGATGCCTCCCCCTGGCAGGAACTTAGTTACGAAAGACACGCATAGCTCTGTACCTATCACCGTAGAAAATGTAAGTTGTGCTTGAAATTTGACGCCAGCTCGATCAGACCAACAGCAGCTGGCACTGGTTTACCCTACCGGATTGCCCACTGGAACACTTCACCCGCACGAGTGAGGCACTGGCTCAGCATCTGATTTAGAAATAGTGATCCCACATCTGAACTGCACTAGTATGAACCCGGCCTTCGGGTCCTGGCGAATAACACCCACTGTAATCACAGGGCGCGTGCTGCTTGACTGTGTCTGAAGACGGGTTTCAGAACTACTCCTGCGTTTGGTAGAAGGCACACATTTTAAATGTCCCTGTCCTCTACCCCCATTTCATCTTTGGCACGGTGGCCCGCGGCGGTGGTAAATGAGCCAGCTACTTGGTGCCGTGACGAAAAGTGCGATGCTGATTTTCTAGAACCGACGTTTCAAAAAATGAAAAGCGGGAATTCCTTGAAGGCTTACTTTATTTCTTAGATGCTTTAACTGAACAATTACGGTATTTACTATTTTCGGAGCTTACTGTCCGTTGTAAAATCATACAATAGACAGCTCCCACAGACATGCACAAGTGTCTCCTTAATGATTTCTACCCCCTTGTCCACATTTCCCACAATAACCATCTTCTGTATAAACTGTAGCATTTCTGTACCCTTCACCTTAGAACTACAATGAAGTGAATCTCAGTTTTAAAACTTAAAAAAACCAAACTGCTGTGGATAATACCAAATCGTAGCAGAAACCGTCTTCCGCAGGGACAGGTGGATTCTAACCAGGCAGAAGCTCATGGTTACGTGTCTGGAATGTTTCGGTTTCTCTCTCATCCCAACAGTGACCGTGCTAGAGCCCTGGAGTTGAGAGGGCTGGGAGATGTGCGGGCTTAGCCTTTCACTGCTCACTCGGGACGGACGGGCTGTCGCCAGTAAACGAGTTAGATTCCCTCTCTCGTGTCCCAGTTCAGCTGTGACCGAACCGGGAGAGCAAGACCAAAGCCCGGGTTTGATGCATGACTCCAGGGTCTTAGAGAACAAACGCCTTGTTTACGGTGAGTAACCGTCTGAGGGCGTTGGTGCTCTCTGGAGGCGGGAGTGGACGGGCTCTTCCCTGTCTCACTGTGGACACACATTCGGTGTCCCTCAGCAAGTGAACATTGGGTTTGCCGAGTTTAAACTGCCCGTTAGCTAGCTTAACACGTTCACTCCCTAACTCCTCTCCGGTCTGCATTCCCACTGCTTGTAACTTGTATGAGTAAATTTTAGAGAGATCTTCATTCGACTTACTGAAACACAAGTCAGCGCAGGCTACAGTTCTGTCGGTTTTATTTTTGCGTAGCCTAAACATCCAAACGACTAGTGGCAAGATCAAAATGGTCTCTGTGAACCCTTGTCTCCTACCAGTGGCCACCCAGACTCTGGCCTCTGGTCCAGGAGACTCGCTTCTAAATAATCTGTCTCAAGCAGTGGTTCTCAATTGGGTAGTTTTGTGCTCGAGGGGACACTTCATTTTTTGAGACAGTTTTGGTTGTCCTAACCGGCAAGGGACCGGGGGTGTGTCACTGGCATCTACTGGGCAGACCCCAGGGGGCCACTAAAGATCCCAAAATGTCCAGGACAGTCCTCCCAGCGCAGTGACGCAGAACGTCACTGGTGCCAAGGCTGGGAAGGGCTGTTGCTGAGGTCCATCCACTGTGACCGTGGGAACAGCTGCCACGTCTCCCAGTGGTCACTCAGGCTGCTCTGGGACATGCGCGGGCTCCATGGTGGAAGTGCGACCCTCAGAATTTTGGGAACTGGGTGGCGGGGGGAGCAGGGTGCAGGGTCAGAGCCAGCGTAGGGAGGGCTGCTGCTGAGAGAGCACGACACTTGGAGCGGGCCGCGGGCTGGGGAAGGAAGCCTCGGGAAATCTGCTGCGAACCGACCTAAATAGACACGCCCGGGTCTCACTTATGCCTCCACCACCACCAGCAGAAGACAGTCTTCCTAGTTCGGCCATTTTCACACGGTCTGTGATACAGCATACTGCCCAACACTGCAGAAAAGCTGTATTTTGATGTTTCTCTCTCTCTTTTTTTAAGATTTTATTTATTTATTTCACAGAGATCACAATCAGGCAGAGAGAGAGAGAGAGGAGGAAGCAGGCTCCCCGCTGAGCAGGGAGCCCGATGCGGGGCTCGATCCCAGGACCCTGAGATCATGACCTGAGCCGAAGGCAGAGGCTTAACCCACTGAGCCACCCAGGTGCCCCATTTTGATGTTTCTTTACCAGAAAGCCAGTTTAAACATTCACTTATCTATAATAAATACTCTTGACGTTTTTCTTCCATGAATCTCTTCTGACAAAATGAAGACGACGGGATAAATAAGTAAGCCTTGAAATGCGAGATCCAATGCCGGTAGCTCGAGGTCAAGAAACCGTGAGAAAGAGCCTAAATGTAATACTTATTGGAGGCAACAGGACGGATTCTTTACAACGCGGGATTTGACGTGACTTCTGGGATATCACACAAAAGAGCACAGGTGACAAAAAACTGACAAAGTGGAATTCATGAAAATTTAAAACTTCTGTGCATTACAAGACGTTATCGACAGAGTGAAAAGTCAACCCGCGGACGGGGAGAAAATATCACACATCACATGCCTGATAGGAGCTTAATAACCACGACACACAGAGAACTCCTTTAACTTAAGGATTGAAACACCCAAACTGAAACACCCAAACACCCGCCCCGAAGCGGAAGAGGACCTGAGCAGACGCATCCCCGAAGGCGCCGCACAGAGGGCCGAGAGGCTCGGGAGGAGATGCTCAGCCTTATCATCATGTAAATGTGAATCAAAATGGCAGCGAGACCCCGGCTCCCACGCAGGAGGACGGGCGCTGTCGAAAGCACAGGGAGCGAGCCCTGATGGCGACGAGGCCAGCTGGAGCCCCGGGGGTGCGGGAGACGGTGCAGACACCCGTGGAGAGCCATCCGGTGCTTCCTCAAAAAATTAAAAATAGAATAGTTCCACCTCGGGGCCTCTACCCCAAAGAACTGGAAGCAGGGTCTCCAACAGATCCCTGGGCACCCACATTCACAGCAGCGTTGTCTGTAACAGCCAAAATGCGGGAGCCCCTGGCGTCCACCAACAGAGGGACGGATACGCAGAACATCCACTCGTGCACCAGAGTGTTGCTCAGCCGTGACCAGGAAGGACATTCAGACACCTGCCACCGTGCGGACGGGCCTGGAGGGCATTACGCTCGGGGAAAGGAGGCAGTCACAAAAAGACGAGTACTGCATAATTCACTTATATGGGGTCCTCAGTCAAAATCCTACAAACAGTGGCATGGGGGTGCCGGGGGAGAGGGGCGGGGGGCTCGTGGTTTCTGGGATGAGGAGGGTCTGGAGGTGGGGGTGACGGCTGGAAGTCCTGCACTGAAGTGGGTGCCTCCCAATGATGGGCACGGGCCACATCCTAGGGGAGCGACGTTTCCCACCAGAAGGAACCAACGCACCCCATGCCCAGGCCGGTGAGCCGCCGGCCAACCCAGCACGGCCTCATGCCTCGTCCCTCGCCAGCAGAGGCTGCAGGAACAGCCCCGCCGTCCCCAGGATGCACACCAGGATGAAAACCCACAGGAAGATGCGATCAATGACCATGGCCACGTACTTCCAGTCATCCTGAATCTGAAAAACAAAAACACACATCAGGAAAGCAGAAAAAATAAAGCCCGAAGGGCCGCAGAGGGAACCCACTTCCAGCAGGAACATCGAGTCAACACGTTGCGGCGGCTGAAACCATCTGGCCTCCTGACACAAGAAAGCTCGTGCTCCTAACGCCGTCCGCAGACGCCCACCGGTCCCAAGTCCCTCCACGCCCTGCAAGAAACAGGCATAAAACACTCATGCGGAGTCTGTTTTGAATCAGGAACTTCTTGGGGTGCCCAGCCAGCTCAGTTAGTAGTAGAGTGTGTGACTCTTGATCTCACGGTTGTGAGTTCAAGCCCCACGTTTGGTGTAGAGCTTACTTAAAACAAACAAACAAAAAACCCAAAAAAATCCACAGAAATTTCTTAATGTACACATAATCTATTTCTTCTTTTTTAGATTTAATTTATTTTTTTAAAAGATTTTATTTATTTATTTGACAGAGATCACAAGCAGGCAGAGAGGCAGAGAGAGAGAGAGGAGGAAGCAGGCTCCCCATGGAGCAGAGAGCCCGATGTGGGGCACGATCCCAGGACCCTGGGATCATGACCTGAGCCGAAGGCAGAGGCTTTAACCCACTGAGCCACCCAGGCACCCCTAGATTTTATTTATTTATTTAAGAGAGAGACTGAGCACAAGCAAGGGAGGGGCAGAGGAAGAGGGAGAAGCAGGCTCCCCGTTGAGCAGGGAGCCCAATGTGGGGCTCCATCCCAGGACCCCGGGATCACGACCTGAGTGCTTCACTGACAGAGCCACTAGATGCCCCATAATCTATTTTTTCCTAAACTGACTTCTAATTTATAAGGTTGGTAAAACCAGTTCTTTGACCTGTGCCTGTGGGAGGGCTCCTGGACCTTGTTAGAAAAGCTAATACAATCCAACCGTCATTTCCCATTGCTTCCAAGTGCTGTTCTTACCCTGTTTTAGATACTAATTTCCTTTCAGCATCTGTTCCGCCCACAAAACCAGCACATCAGGGTCAGGCCGGCGTCATTCCCGCGGCCCCTCCCCGGGCCCAGCTAACCAAAGATCCTCTTCCACCGTAAGGCCTGAGCACCACGGACAGGGACAGGCTGGAAATCAGACGTAATTGCTGACAATAAAGTAAGAGGTGGAAGAAAGAGCAAGACTAATTGCATATAACACAGCTTCGGTTCAGGCTTGAGACAGGAAGGAGAACCGCATGTTAATTACAGTCCTAGACGACTCCGCAAGCAAGGAAGCCATAATTGAATTGAGGAAGAGAGAACCCATGAATCAGTGGAT